GAAGGCAGCGGCTGGGCCCTTCGAGGGAGGTGGAGGGCCTCGTCCTCCTTCTTTTTCGACTCGCATCTCCTCTGCATGGAGGCAAGAGCGGAGCCGAAAATCCCCTCGGGAACGATGGGCATGTCAAGCACATCCTCCTTTACCCGGTCTGGGAGGTTGGTGAGGTTGAGCCATCTAGCTCTTTCCTGCACCACCATGATCCCCATTGTTTTGCCCGTGGCCTGGACGGCGCAGCGTTGGACACGGAGACAAATGTCTGTGACCGCGGCCAACTCATCCAGAACGGCCGGTCCAGGATTACTCAACATATCCTCACAGAGCTCCGCTTGGTATGCGGTTAGCAGTGAGGAAACGTTCAGAGCCCTGGCGGACAACGCTGCGGCTCTGTAGGACCGTTCAGTCATGGTCGACTGGAAACGGTCCACCTTCGCTGGCAGCGTGGGGTTCCTGCTTGGTGACGGGCCCATCCTCAGCAGTTCCATCGGCGGTATGCGGAGCAGGCCGAGCCTCTGCGGGCGAGACCATGGTGAGGTCTCGCCGGGAGCTCCCGCCTGGTGAGGCGTGGGGCTCCGTTCCCGCGTCTCTTGCCGCCACCGGTTCCCGGCCTTACACGGCGTTGGATCCCGGTTCCGCAGCTGCCGCTGTTAGTGAGCCCCAGACCGACACAGTGAGGGGCTCAGTCTCTGCGGCGGACGCCCCCGTGTCTTGATTGCCAAACGGCGAATCAGTGGACATGAGGAAGTCCTGTTCCAACAAGCTATCTTGGTGTGCTAGCCATCGGTGGAGGCTCTTTCGGATGAAACGGGCACAATGCCCGCACGAGCCGGGGTTGTCGATAGCCTCCTGGGCATGTTCCAGCCCGAGGCAGGACGAGCAGACCTGGTGTGAGTCTGTGCCTGCTATCTTCAACCCGCAGCCGCATGACCGAGCCTCCGAGTCCCTGACTCCTCTGGTGTGAGGGGGAGAGGCGTCCATCTTGTTCGCCTCGTGGCGTGGAGAGGACCCGCTCGTAACAGGTACGTCGTTGAGAGAAAAAGTGTTACCAACCCGTCCTTAATCCGGAGAAAAAGGAACGGTGTGGGTCCTTTGTTCTCAAAGAATATTGACTGGTGTGTCAATATACTTCTAATCGTGAGAGAGAAAAATAAAAGCGTCCTCGCTACCGTGGTGTCGGTAGTAAGGGGAAGCTAGCTAGCAACAGGTGCGTAGCTAGCTTGAGAAAAATCAAAACCTTACCTTACTTTCTGGGGAAAGAAATGGCGAGGTCGATTTTAATACTAACTGGCGTTAGTATTACCGTCTTCTTGCGAAGCAGAAGGAGTAGCCGGCGAGCGCCCGTCGACCGAAATGGTTATATTTGGGTTCAGTCTGTGGACCGTTAAGCTTGTCTGGCTACTATAGAGATGTGCTCTGAAGCGAGAAGAGGTGTTTGAATGACGCATGCGTCGTGGCGCAAGCTACTTATAGGGGGTGAATTCCCTGACGCTGACGTCAAGATCACCAGCCAATCAGGATTGGCGTAATGAGATTGATGCTTCTGTTTGCTCCGCGATGAGGCGCATCCCATAGTGAGACATCGAACGGAGTGTTATGAATGAGAACTCAAATTAAGTTAAAGAGACAAACAACAAACAAACAACAAAATGAGTGCAGGACCGAGCAAAAAGCTAAAAACATACCACTTCCACCCAGAATGGGAGGAAGAATATTTTGTTGTGATGTCACATTCAAAGGTTATTTGCCTTATTTGTAAAGCAAGCGTCGCTTTGCCAAAGAAAGGTAACGTGGATAGGCATTATCGGAGTGTTCACAAGGCGACAGCGACTTCCCTCCGAATAGCGAGTTGAGAAAGAGAAAGGTCATGTATTATTGCTACACAAACATTATCTCGCAGTATTAGTGTCGCCAACTCGTTTCTAAATTATGCAAAAAGACAAAACAAATGCGTCTTTGGTCGGTGTATTTTTGATCTTTCCAATCGAGACGAGATCTCTCCCCCGTGTGCGAGGGGGCGGGGCAGTGTACACACACGCTGCTGCTACATGCAGCAACACACGGCTGGGATGGCGGAGAGAAGCGCTCCAAGGTGTGGTTAAATGTTACCCGTCTTGAGGTGGACAATGCTCGTTACCAAAAGTGCAATAAGAGTTTAGCATGTAAGGGCGGTAACACGAGCAATTTGTCTAAACATTTAGCAAAAGTGCACCACATTCAGACAGAGGAATGCACCGGGTTCGACTGTCTTTCTTGTAGCTCTGTAGCCCCGTCCACGAGTAACTTTTCCACGTCAGGTGTTATGCTAGCAGCAACACACGGAGTTAACTCAATTATACAAACATGGATTAATGATTAGAGGTAACAGAGTTATTTAGTTTGTTAAAGTTTCAGCTATTCTGTTTACAGTTCTGTCATCACATTATTTAATACGATTTGTTAAAACACTGTTGTTTCTTTTGATGTGAAATATTATGTATTTAATTTAAATAAAAAGCAATGTTAGTTTTGTAAACAATTTGTTAAGTTAATTTAATAATATATGTATTTTTGAATCAAGTATTCATCTTTATTGTCTTCATTGTTAGTTTCACATGCCTAAAACAACCTCAAGCTAAATCTAAAAGTTGATGGCTAAATCAGAGCGTTTGAGAAATTGTGCAAGGCATACAGTAATAGTCCGAATAGTCAATTAATCGTTTAATCGATTATCAAATGAGTTGTTTGTTGCAGCCCTATTGTAGTTATCCCATGTATAAATAAAAGGTGTTATTCAGCAACCCTTACAATTTGAGATATTATTTTGGGTTGGTAGACCTCGGTGAGCTGGTCATTTCAAAAGTAGCTCACCAGCCAAAAAAGTGTGGGCACCCCTGGTCTACATTAAGTCCAGCATTGATTGAGATTTTAAGATCAGGTCTTTAAATGTCTTGTTTGTGAACGACTAAGCCTTAAAAGCAAATACATAAATGATCCCACAGAAGAAAGAAGCAAATCCTCCCAATTGAGATGCTGAAACTACGATATTATAATTACTACGGCATTATTGCTTGAATTTACTTTTAATTAACTGTCAAAATGGTTGCTGTTGGTTTCTCTGTCTATTGACTCTCCATTTACCATTGCAGCTTTGATTTAAGTCTGTTTTTAAGAAGTCTTATTTGGCTCTGGAAACCTTTCGAAGGGCTTTTTTTCACACATTTCTGACATTTAAAGGACCAAAAGAACAATTGTTTATTGGTCTGATTTACAATTATACAAATAATTGTCAGTTGCAGGCTTGCAGCTCTTAAATGGTGTAAAAGGGGGAATTTCTCTCTTATTCCAGCTCTGAGACACCCTGTCGCCCTGCCTGCTGCAGTGACCTGATGTACAGAAGTCAGAGGATGCAGATTAATACCTGTATGAAAACAGAGCATGAAGCCTCAGCTCAGTAGGTTGGGCGACATGTGGAAAAACAGAGTGGAAATAAGAAGGCAGAGTATAGACTGCAGTGAGGTGAGAGCAGGGTAAACAAAATGTGCTTTTCTGAGGGACGAAATGGCTGTGTGTCAGGGGCGGTTCTAGGGGGGGGGGCAGTGCCCCCCTAACACTGACCTCTGACCTCCCTGTGGCCCCCCTAACAATGAAAAGTTTTTTTTTTTTAAATGTATATTTTCTGGTACTCGGTTTGCCAAAAACCGCAGGATTTTGTTGCTGTAATGTGAGATTGTGCAGACACCCTTATGTAAAGTAGAGATGTAACTGTTCATTGCCTTTATTTTTATATAACTATGGTGTTAGTGCAAACATTGCACTATAACTTAAGCTGAAGCTAACAGTAATAACTGTAAGATCTATCTGAAATAAATAAGTGTACTGAAACAAATACCAATAATTGTATTGCATTGTTTTCTTATGCGCAATTACTTCATACTGTATAGTTCTCTTTTTCGTCCTGCATTTATTGTGCCCCCCTCAGAAAATAACTGGCCCCCCAGTGGCCCCCCCAGACAAATTGGTCTAGAACCGCCACTGCTGGGTGTGATGACTCAAATACATTTAATTGTTTACTTCCTGACACCTCTGCATGAGTGATATTAAGGAACAGCCTGGTCATCCTGCCACAGACTGACTGAGCATTCTTCCCAAAGTGACAAATACTCGCTAAAAGCGGGCTCTCAATGAGATAGGAGCCAGTGAAACTAGAGGCAGCAAGTATCAGACCTAATCCATAATGTATCTGACAAGTCTCACATTCATATTTCACACAGTCATTATTGAACCTGTGCCAGATCTTGGATTTGCAATACCGTGAAAAGTTTCTGAATCATGAGCCAAATCTCTGCATCTAATAAAACTAAAGCGAGCAGCCAACATTCTCTAAATTCATTAAACATACACAGGTAAAATGAAATGAGCGACATTATTCGAAAAGCAGTTTGGTAGGAAAATATTCTGCTACATGTTGAAAGTGTATCAATCATTCATGACATTTATCAAGCAGACCACCAGCCATTCTCTGGTTGCATATTTTCTGATGTAATGATGAGTCTTGGGCGCACTACATGTGCACCTTGGACTATGTAACAGACTATAGTAACAAAACAAGGAATCGATGTAAACATATTCAACTGTTATGAGTTGCAGCAGTTGACATTAGTCCAAAAAGTCAAGGTCAACATCCAGAAACGCCTAAGAAGGATATTTCAATCCCGAAAGGCAAACTATGATGTTATAAAGCATGCTGATTCTGTAATTTGAGATAAATATCATTACTCAGATCTATTTACAAATTAAAAAAACAACACAACAAAGTTTGTAGAGGTTACTACAAACTCTGCTGACGCTCCAGCAAGAATTATATAGCGATATTAAGTGATTTAAGGTGCCATAGCCTTCTGTATTCTGCCTGAAACCGACAGAATAATGATCCAGATGTCAAATAAGGAGGTCAATACAGATCAATAACTCATCTGTTGATCAAACTCCATTGTGAGTATTTTCCAGTTAAATCCATCACTCACCTTGCGCAGAGGCAGTGACTCCTCTCCGACAACCATCCGCAAAATCCCGGTGGTTAATCCTTTACGCACCTGTGCCGTAAAATCCGTCAAAACTTAACGGGAGTCTCGTCAGGTGGAGCGTTTGTCGCAAGGCTGCTCTTCAACACTGATATCGTGTATATTTCTTGTTTAAAATCGCGCCGTACCGTCCAAAACAAGAACAGAAAACTCCCTCGCGCTGCTCTCTGTCGTGATGAGCGTATCCTCTAGCGACTCCTCTGTAGTATCGCGGAGCCGAGAAGAAACGGGGCTCTGTTGATATCATCCACCACTACTCCGACCGAAAGGCACCGAGGAAGGAAAACAAAAATAAAGTAAGCTGCACCAGCGTGAGGGAGGAAAAAGGGAGGGAAGAGAAGAAGAAAGTGTGAGCAGCTTCAGCGGGATGAATGAAAGACAGAAAGCGCTTTCGGCTCTCCCTGTGTGTGATAGTGTTCACTGAATGCTGGGTTTGCAGAGTGAGTGAGTGAGTGGGAGCACTGGTCGAGTGAGTATTTCAGCACAGTGCACCCACATTAATATCATCTTACATAAAAACAGAGAGGGAGAAAAAGCGCCAAAAATCCTGTCATATGTCACAATGGCTGTAATAGCGAACCTGTGTTTCATATAGTCTAAGCGTAAATGCTGCTCAGGTGTGCGTCAATCACTTGTCACATCATACTGACGAGATGTTTTGAATTACTTTCAGTCCATCTGAGGAGGTTAACTAATAAGATAAGAGTAAACAAACAATATACAAATATTTCATACCTCCAACTTCTTTCAACAGTAAACTTTATCCATCAAGTCTTTGCTAATGTGCCACTGAAGGTAAACCAATACCAGCAATTTGAAGAAGGCACATTGGATGGGTTTGGTCATAATTGCACTATTGACATGCTCTGTAGACTCAACAAGTAACCAATCAAACTTGAAAAAAGACTGATATATTTATAATGATAAATAACCAAAAAAGAGAAATACCAAAATGCTACCAAAGCAAATATTTCTAGAGTTGTTCCCTTTACGAAGATGATTGCAGTATTTTGCTGCAGGTCTTATTTTGCAGACAATCTCAGCCAAATTCCCGCAAATTATCCCATATTTCAGGATGATGTGTTGTCAGGATTTGAATGGAATAACAGTTGCTTTTGAATCCCAGTCACAATACTACACAGCCATGAATCACAGTCCAACTTACAGAAGCCGACAATAACCTCCCTAGATCTATCAAAAATTGCATTAATTATCGGTGAACCAAAATCACTTGCCAAAGCAATCATATGTACCGAATTTGAGCTGAGCTGAAAATAATGACATTGCCATGCCCCTTTTTATATATTTTTTCTGTTCAATTACACCAAGTCTTTTTGAAATGCTCCCATTTTCTCGCAAGTGTATGGATGTGCATTCATTCCGGGAGAATGGACGCCTATTACACGCTTTCAGAGGCTCTGACAGCAGCCCTCAGTGATGAAGCCAAACACTTCATAGCTCAGACAATGTGTACACACACACACACACACACACACACACACACACACACACACACACGCACTTACAGATCCAAATACACAGGAACGCACTGACACAATACGCATTGACGAGATGAAAGGGCCAATTTATCAAACCACCAGCCAAGGCACGCCTGAGGACGTATAGTGCCAACATTGGTCTGGAGAAAGAGGGCAAGATGTGTCTGTGTGAGTGTGTTTAACTTTCACGTTTCCTTTGCCGTGACAGTAAAGTCGTTCCTCCTAACATAACATTCACTTTTGCCTTCGGGTAATATTCAAAAGTAAAATGCATTACCTTTTAACGCTGATGCCAGCTGACGTGTCTGCAGGACAAGATAATGTTTAGTTCTTGTGATTGTCCGGTGCTTCGAGTGCATGTGTGTCTGTTTGTTGAAATGAGAAGGAGAGCAAGAGGGAGGGAGGAATGGTGCTAGTGCCTGTCCCTTGTTATTGCTCATTAAACTGCAAGATCAATGTCCATTCTCAGAGCTTTACAGCATTTACAAGGCCAAACTAATCCACTATTAGAGAGCTGCATGACAGAGCTGCAGAGAAAGGCACAGAGCAGTGCTTAGAGAGAAGCTGTGTTGAAATGAACAAAGAACATCACCAAATTGTGTCTAACTTCTGTAAATATTCTCTCTGAACCTCACAGAGGGTTTGCACAGCACACTGTTGTGTAAGGAGCTCTTCACTGCATGGCATGGTTCACTTTTGGGATGTTGAAAAATGTACAAAAAACGTTTCGTAAGAGAGAGGGTGAGATAGATTTGTTTTTCTCTTTGTGCCTGTCACTAATGTGATTAAGGTCTGGATATTTGACAGTGACAGATGACAGAGCTGATGTGAGCCAGTATTGAATTATTGGATAGTGAAATGAAGGAGGCGCTTCCTGGACAACAGCTACAAAAAAACTATGTGCAATGATCATTCAATATTTCTAAAATTAATCATTGATTTTTTTTAAATAATATTGTCCCAATTATTGTAATGCTGCAGAATTGGTGTAGGGAATACAATCACAAGCAGACAGAGAAAAAAATACAGAATATTTAAAAATAGACAAAGCATACGGAGACTGTTTTCATACAAGCATGACATAGAAGCTTTTGGCAGGTGCAGAAATATGCTGCTTGAATAAATAAACGTAATAATTGAACTGACAGAACACTTATCTACTCCACTTTTGGTGGAAAAGTAAAGCAACATAGAAACTGATCCTCCAAGGGCGAAAGAGAAATCCACAGAGATTAAATTGATACACCAGCTTTCGTTTGCACTCATCCACCAACTCCCTAGCTGAGAGTGTTTATATTTAGATGTGAATAAGAGTGTGTTTATGTGTGAGGGAGAACATTTCAAATGTTAGTTCCCTGATTTTGTGATGTCGGCTTCAGTGCGGTGCATCTGTTGGGTTTTGGCGGCTGGGATACTGGCCCGCTCCGCTTGATACCGCTCCAAGGTTCGGGGCAGCCTGCTGGCACTGTCAGTTGGTGGCGAGCCTGAGCGACTGGGTCGCTCATTGTATTTAGAAAAAAAAAGAAGTAAGGCCGGCTCCAAGAATCATGGTTTCAAAAGTATTTACAAAACTGATATGCCTTTGTTTGTACATCACAGGTCACAGACACAGACTGCATGTGTCTGTAATAAGTAGAATGTAGAAGCATGAGGATACAGACAAATATGGATCCATGTACTCTCCAATAAAGTGTTTATTTGTAACAGGTGAGGGGATATTTGATTTCAGTAGCATCAGCAACTCTTAACTTACAGCTCAGATCACTTACACACAGTCATATATAGAGTACAGCTGACACTGATAGTGTACAGAAGGAGCTAATTCAAAGTTAATGTGATCTTGTCGCCACCCTGAACACCAGCCAAGGAAGAAACAGCGAGGACAGAAAGTAAATTATATCCACAGTGTCAACTTCAACACAAATTAACCCTTGTGATTAATGTATTTTTCCGTTATAATCTACAACCTATTTAAGCAACTCAAACTCAAAGCCCTGCTCTTATTCTTTTAGCAAAGATTGCAATAAATGTATGCGGCTTATGCCTTACGTAAGCACAATTATGGAACATTTGTATTCATGAACAACTCTCCTTAAACCTACAAAATGTCACTTCATTTATGCAAACCCTCATTCTTTTCTTAAGTCATTCAGTTTTAACCTTCCCGTTTTCCTCACAAATCAGTCTGCTTAAGTGATTCATAGCGAGATTGCAGACAGATCTATGTCAGCCCCCCACTGTACAGGGGCGGATCTACCGGGGTGGCATGGGGTGGCAACTGCCACCCTAAACAATAGCCTTGCCACCCAGTTGGCATCTTTGTTTTGAAAGAAAAGTTGTGGCTCATCGGACATTTATGAGAGAAAGTCTCTAATGTCCGAGTGCAAGTGAATGCAGCACAAGATGCACGTCATGTAACCCCTCCCCCGGTCCTGGCGCGAGAGTGGAAATATGATTGGTGGCGAATTCACTTGAACCGGGGGACGGCGCAAAACGAGAAGCCTTTCGGACCCAAGCACTGAAGGAATGAGGTATTTGCGCTCTACAATGACAGAGAAGAGAATGTCAAGTTTGGCTGTACTCAGCATTGAATCAAAACGCACTACAGCTGTTGATCTTAATAAGTTTGTGAGGCGTTTTGCTGAATAAAATAGTAATCGCCGCATTCAGCTGTAATAGCACTTGATGCTCTGCTCACGGATGACTCGATGAGAATAACAAACTGTTAAGATGATGACCTTGTATGCGTGTATATATTGTTTTCTTTGAGGGGGTCTGCCCCCAAAAAACAATTTTAAGTCCAGAGAAAGTAAAATAAGACGGTGTGTAAAACTACACTGCCCAGCCAACAGAAAGTAACCACTTTGATTTAACTAGGCCAGTAGGTCAGGACCTTCCACTGGATAATAACTGCAGCGATGTTTTAGCTGAATACACGTTTAACCCTAACTAATGCAGTTAGTCACTTCTTTAATGTTTGTTCTTTCTGATGTAAAGTCGAGGTTGTAACTGTATATCAATAAAGATATAATTACTTGTTTTTCAAATTTGAAGGAGGGTGAGCAAGCATCTTGATGAACATTCATCATTAACTCCTCCAAAGAATATAGTTTATTCAATAATAAATGAATATGTGAATCATAACAGTTCTTCACTATATCTGTAAAGCGTCTTTGAGCACCTATAAAAACGCTAACAAATTAAATCTATTATTATTTATTAACAGTGATTGACAGCTGATAGGAATAATATGATTGTTAATAGTATCATATTCATTCAGACAAACATCGATGAGACAGTTAATTAATGTACTTATTGCAGCAGTCTGCATATATTTGGTACCCCTGCTGGTCTAAGAGTGAGACAAACTCATTCAGTTATTGTTCAGTTAAAATTCATTAAATTACATCTGCCACCTTATATGTAAGGCTTTACTGATGTGCCACAATAATATCACCTATGTGATTGAGTTAAAATATTAATATTGTGGCTTTCCAAGTTAACATTGATTGTAGGGGTGTAACGGTTCACAAACATTTCGGTTCGGTACGTACCTCGGTTTTTAGGTCACGGTTCGGTTCGGTACGTTTTCGGTACAGCAGAAAAAATTATCACAAAACATTAAATATTTTTTTTAAATTATTATTAAACTGTGACTAATGTATTCAAATAAATACAAAATATAGTAAAATAAACATTAAGGTGCAGCATTTCGATGAACTGAAATAATCTGTATTTGAACTGTACTGTACCTAAGCAGCCAGCTTGACATTAGGACTTGCTTGTCATTGTATTTTCATGTTGTTTAAAGAAAGATTAACTTGTCCACATTGCTTGCTGAAAGGGCAGATCTGCTGGCACTAACAATGTCTCCTGCTGTGGAGAACACCCCTCTCTCTAGGGACAGTGGCAGCAGATACAGCCAGGTAGCGCTTTGCTAACATGGCAAC